CAACAAACTGTTGAGGAAATGTGATATATTGGCCTGTTTCCTGGAGTTCGACTTCACATATGGAAGAGAAATCATGTTCTAATGATGTGTAGATTATTTCAATATTTGCACCAATCTTTTGAAAGATTTACTCACAATCTTCAGTAAATGGATTGAGGGTAAAATAGAGAAAATATATATGCAAAATAATATTGCTTCATTACACTCTGGCAATGGAAATATTTGCCTTAGACATTATAAGTTGTTGCTATATTAAACTCATTGGTTTAAACTTACCCAAAGTGGCCTAAAAATAAATCTAAAAAATAGAAAGTAATATCAGTTTTCTTAATACAGTTGATTCCATAACAAATATTGGCATTTTTCCTTTCTCTCTTTTTAACAATTCTATTGTTGCATTCAGTTTCTTTGTGCCTCAGATATGCTAGCTATCAGTTTTGAATATGTATTTTTCTGTTTCTTTCTCTTGCTATAATTAGGATAGACAAATGTGATTTGCTGAATGGAAAAAGAAAAGTGTTACTGTTCCCAAAGAAGTCAACTAGTAAAGCCACTCCATCTTAATACTAGAGAGATGGAAAAAATTTGAAATTTGTTCCAGGTACATTTTTGTTGAAATGTGATTAGAAGTACATTTGTTAAATTGTTCAGGAGGCAATATATGACAGATGAGTAAGACTTGTGTGCTGCTCAATATTTCCAGGAAGTGGGTTTTGATCATTACTCTTTTTGAAATAACAAAATTCTATCAGCAATATACAATGTTAAATGTGGCTGAAAGGAGATGCAGTGATTAGGCCCAATAGAAACAGCCTTATAAAGAGGCTCTATAACTTTTTAGTTCAGTTATTCTAGATATGATTCCGCAATACTTATAAGGGGATATTGAAAAACTCTCAGCCAAACAAAGGATTACTAAACAAATTCAGTTAGATTTTAGGTAATTTACTTTTCAGTATCTTGTATATTGTCATTGAAAACAAGAAGTTAGTAATAGTTTGTATATGTTAAACATTTGAGATTACAATTTCTTATTGACCAGTAAATTGACAGCAAATATAAACATTTTTTTGGCATTTTATATTTTCCCTTTCTATCAATTTTAGAAAAAATATTTTTCATTTTTTATTTATTTTTTCTCTGCAAGTTTCTGTTTTAACTTCCAATAAAATTTTGTTTTGAAATGCATTTCATGTTCTGATTTCATCAACTTCACCAATTTGCTTTCTTGCTTCTAGTTTTTATATACAGTGTAACCCGGATATAAGAGAGTTGTCAGGACCGGAGAAGAAGTCTCTTATATCGGGTTTCTCTTATATCCGGTTTTGGTCTATTTTGTTTAGGTAACACAGGCTCTAATGTGAGACCAGAGAAAATCTCTCTTATATCCGGGTCTCTTATATCCGGGTTACACTGTGCCACCCGGGTTACATTGTGCCATCAAATTATCAATTTACTCATGTGGCAGCCTATGAAAAAAACCTTGAAAAGTTGTATGCATATTTTTGTATCAAATTTAAATGGTCAAAAGATAATTTGAATTGTTTTAGGTTTAGTTAATAATTTTTAATTAGCTTTCTTCATATGTTTTAGCATTTGTTGTCAATATTGAGCATTCAATAAAAATCTAAGGAATAGCAAAAAGATGTCAAATTTTGCTAAATATGGTAAAGCATTAAAATATTGTTTTTACTTGATTGTATATATATATATATATATATATATATATAAATTAAGTATAATTTTTCCTCTTGCCTCCTTTTATTCATTTTGTCTATTCTACAGATACACTCTCATAATACAGGGTATGATGAATAAATTGTTGCTATATGTGTTGTTTTTGATTTTGTTGACTGCATAGTATAGTAGGGTCAGTTGGGCATCATCTGTGAGAAAAATTCAATTCACTCCAACAGAAATTTGGAAACAGCATGCTGTACTGCTTGGCATTCATGCCAGAAGCTTCAATATAAACATTTCAGAGTTTGGGTGTCAATCTGAAAACAGTTCAGAGGATTTGGAAAGAATTGGATGAGTCTAATGGTGATTATGAAGGTGTTTAGTGTGATCACCAGTGATGGCAACGTTATGTTACCATTCATCTTTCCACAGGGCCTCAGACTCAACACTACATCAAGTGCCTTGAAGAATTAGTGCTGCTCTGGGTGAAGAGGGTAGCTGGCAACAGGACTGCACCAAGTCACACAAGCAGGAGAACCTAGTCATGTCTGTTGGACAATTTCTGTGGCCACATCATCTCTTACATCTTGCCACCTAACTCCCCAGACTGCAACCCCCTTGATTATTATTATGTGTGGGGGGCAATTAAGTGCGAAACCAGCAAAACTCTTTGTAACACCAAAGATGAACTGAAGGTAAGGATTATGGCAGTATTCACCAAGTTAAAAAAGGAGACTTTTGTAGGAGATTCCGAAGTTGTCTGGAGCCAGTGAGAGATTTTGTTGAATAAAATTACTCTTTAGTATTTCAATATATTTTTGCGTAATTTTGGTAATAATAATAATGACATCTCATTTTAACAGATATAAATATATCTGTTAAAATGAGATGTCATTATTATTTCATTTTTGTGTAATTTAGACGACAATTTATCCTTCGCACTCTGTATTCACACACACACACGTAAAAGTATGAGATTAACTTGACTGCCATAAAAGTTTAAGAAAATAGAAAATAATCAAAATGTGCTTTTTGCATAGTGTGGGAACGTGGTTGACACAAGGCTACCTGCAATTGAGCATAATTTCTCCTTATAGTGTATGTCCCTGTTTTTCTTTTTTAAAAGAAAAATTCTCTTATTTCTATTATTTTATTCACTTTAGGAATGACTTTGCCTCTATCATATGCAGTTAAAGCTCAGTTTTATTTGTGTAGTGAGGAAATATGTAGTGTATATATATATATATATATATATATATATAAGGAAGTTAATGTAAAAACCAAACTCCAATCATGGCTCAAGAAAACCTTAGCATTCAAATAGAAAATGGTATTTATACACAAATATCATCTGACCCTACTGCTATTGTATTATTATTCAGTGTATAAAACTTGAATAAAAATTTTAAATTTTATTCATATACACTACAAATTTGTTTTCCACAAATTTTCTCAATTCATTGCAATGTTAAAAATCTCAGTTTTCATTATTTCCATTGACTTTTGCTCTTCACATGTCTTTTTCTGATCATGATGACTTAAAATTGAACACATAAATGTTACTTTATTCAAACTTCTACAGTTCTTCACCAATGTTTCATATGAAGAAGATAAATCAAATGAAAGAAAACAGAAGTATGGCATATTTTTTTTTTATAAAATATTTTTCTTTCAAATTTTCTGAAAAAAACTCATATAAACTAAATTTATTCATAAGCAAAGAATTGATTCTCAAAGAATGACAATCTTCCAATATTATTTTATTTTCTACAAATCAGCTGATACCTTTTTCATTTTTTAAGATCAGCTGATACCTTTTTCATTTTTAAAGAACAATTTCAATACAAAAATTGAAGAAGATTCCACCCATGAACAAATTTTCTTAGCACATTGCTTTTCATATGTAAAGCATCTTGCTTATTTTGTGCCATTATAAAAGTTGAACTGAATGAAGTGTAATAAATGTTTCAGTGTGGCAAAAAATTATGCATGGGGAAATATAGACAGTAAATAAACTGACTTCAAGTGAAAGAGACATTTAGTGACTGTATAGTGATTTTCTAAGCATAGTTTAGATGTGGCACAAGACCAAAAGTATGGGACATTCAGTAACGACCAAACTCACTACTCAGTCATAATTGTTCTAGTGAGAAAAGCTTGCTAATCATTACACCATGCTGAGTTGCCCCATTTGGTGGCTGTATAGTTGTGAAAATTTTCTGTTGCAAAAAGTTAAAATGCTGATCAGCTGCTGGCAAATTTGCACAAAATGGTTGAATATATCAATTTTAAGGGAATTTGATGAAAACGGTTATTTTGAAATGGGATAAAGCAAGTTAACCGGTTAATGAAACTGAATTCCAACCATTTAACAATGTGACCCAACTCTAAAGTATGTTTTGATTACCGTATATACTTGTGTATAAGCTGACTTCAAGATTTTGCATGAATTTTAAACCCTCCAGAAAAAGATTACTTGTGTATAATGCAACCGGTTACCGAAAATGCATGATTTTTAACTTCTTCAAATAAATTACCTGTGTATAGTGCGACCGCCTATTTTTTTGCATAAAAACTGATCATGGTACTCGAATGTATACAGTATTTTTATTTTCAGCAATATTTATCTGAAGTAATTCACATATAAACTATAACACGTTTTTCACAGAAAACTTTTGCTCAAACTATAGATTATTAAATCAGTCCTATGTTGATCAGTCTAATTTTTGCATCTACTCATATGTATATGTCAGTAGGGTCACACGTTTAGAAAGGGCGAATCCCATTCATGTGGGAAGAGGCATAAATTTCTACTTCACTGGTATTTTTTCTCGAATCTCGTCAGAAATCAGTTAAAAGTATAAACGTAGTTACTCGATCTTTCCGTCCCCATTACAATATAAGTACTAAGGTCATGTATACACTTTGACGTCTGTGATAAAAGCCAATAGACCTGACCAATTTTGACTTTGTCTACATGCATGCATTAAATCTAGCCATGTGTCGTACTTGCCCTCGCAAGAATTTTAAATGCCATACTTAGCTAGCCTTGCTGGCGATTTCATGTCATTTGTGGTCGGAAACAAGTAATCATAAATTTTGAAGCCTAGCTTTTAAAAACCCATCTTTCAAGTCGCATCTGCTCACAGTACTAAAGGGACGAGGTCAGTGGCATACACTGATGTCTCTTGTAAATGCTAAGAGAACTAGGTAATTTGTGGACGAAACGTCATGTGACCTCCAGTTGTATGTGTGCTCGACGACAAAAATTCACGTGTCATATTTGTTTTCGCAGGAAGACAAATAAATCTCTTTCTTACCTGACTCCATTTTCCGACGAACCAAGCTCCTCCACATGGATATGCATTTTCACAAGTCTTCCTTATTTCAGGTTTATTATTATTATCACATCGCTCTGGGGGTAGTGTGTTGCCGTTCTCTGTGGCGCACACAATCTGCCGGGTAGTTATTCCCTCGCCGCAAGATTTGGAACATTGCCCCGACCAATCAGAGAGAAACCAGCGTGGTGGGCAGTGATCAGGTGCACAGCGTTCTATCCGTTGGGGTCTTGGCTTCGGGCAATAACGCGCTGGGATGGACGTATTCAGGTGACCACTGACACATTTCACTATTCGCTTTCGTATGCTGCCTGGTCCACATTCTGGTTTGCATTTGCTCCAATTTTTAACCAACCATTTGGCACACGGATCATTGTGGCATTGTTGAATAATAGCCGGCCGGTTCGCCTCACCGCACCGCTCTGCTGAAACTTTCAACTTAAAAAGAAACACAAGACGGAAGGTAAAAAAAAAAGAAAAACAGTAAGAGCAATAAACTGGGATATATAAAAATAAATGAATAAACTAAAAATTGGGAACAAAACTGTTTTACCATGAAACATTTATTGAAATATGCCGAGAAAGTTGATTTAACATAATAATGATAATAAAATTGCCTTTTGTATTAAATAAGTTGAGTCATATATAATTTCCGTTTTTGTTTATCAATTTTATTCTTCGAAAAATAAAGTACAATTGCATTTTATTCAATCATATATATACCATTACTTGCAATGATTTCTATCGGACTGCTCTTCGATACCTTTTGAATAAAATAACGTAGTTTTTGATGTGAAAGATTTTTCAACGAAGAGAAAATTTTCCCCATCAAAACATTTTGCAGTTGCTGAAAGAGTTAATCACTATGGTAAGTGGTGATAGAACAAACCATAATGAAGAATAACATTTTCCTTCGAAACCACTGTGTACGCTACCATTACTATACAAAATAAATAAATAAACGAAACCCTGTTAGTATACTAAAAATTAATTGTTAACTGCAAAGTATGAACAGTAGTTTGGATCATATATTCATCATTGCAATTTGTTACCAAAAAAAACAAATTATTTATGACTCGGCCGAATTATTCCGTTCGGTATTAAAAGTTTAATTATTGAACAATGAATCTTCAATATAATTTCATAGCATATGTTGCAAAAGTAACAACATTATAAAATAATAATTAACAGTTTCTAACAAAGTTTTCATTAGACGATAACCCTAAGGGTAAGCATGATTTCGGGACTGAAATTTGTCAAGAATTAATGTAAAAATTGAATTTATTTGTATATATATCATAAACAGAGAAATAGTTGTTTGAATTAAATATGCAAATGTATGTCTTTAATTCTTCTCATGGCGATTATGTATTTAAACTTGAGTTTAGTTGGAAAGTGTTCAAACGAATTACATTCCTTAGTTCCGCCACTACTAATCTTCACGACTATGACCCGCCATTTCACGCACATTGTAGCGAACCGCTCCCATCCCGCTTCATATTGCATTTGGGCGAGCAGCTTCTTCATAAGAACCATTGCTTTGTGTAACCGATTCTCAAGAGGATACTTCTCTACAATCTTAATCTGTTCAAGTATAGGGTTAACCGTTATCTTCCCTAGATATCCCCACAAACTGTGTCTCTTACTCTGTAAGCCTCTACCTCGAGTGGCTCTTGGGCCTTGTATATGGTGAAAATCATTGTTAAAAAACATGTTACTTTTCATCACAAATACTTCAAGTGAAACTGAAACTCCTTTTGCCGCAGGAAATCTGCCTATGTACGACAGCTGCTGTATCAATTAGACTTCCGGAGCTTTTGGCAAAAGATCAAATATTTTAAAATCATTCTCTATTTACGCTCAATTACTCGGCACTATATGTTATTGTTTTTGTGTACACTATTTGTATTATTAGTAATAATATTATCTTTATTTTATTTGTAAGAGGTAATATTATCAATGTTAATTAGTATTTTATTTTAAGGCTTGTTACATTTTATCGCAACTAAAAAAGATGACGAATTAAAAGCGTTAGATTTAATTTTTCCGCTAAGTATAAAAGTTTAATCGGTAGAACAACTGTTGAACATAGGCTTCCCGAGGTAAAAAGCATGTGAGTTCGAGACCCATCTGGAACATATTCGTGTCGAGCAAACGTGGTGGCAACAGAATGCGCAGAGAGTCTCTAGATTGCTCCTCAAACTAATTCTAGGTAATTTGGACCCAATATCACAGTGCATTATCCTTCTGGAATAAACCCATCATTGTTGGAGTCTATGAATGTGTTATAACAAGCGTATGGTAGCAAGGAAAAAGGTGAACAACGGAGTAAAGTTGAATAAATATTTCTGAGAAAAAACGAGGAAAATTATATATACAAAGTTAACCATGAGTCAATACAGAAAATGAAAGTCCTTTCGATAAAGAGTTCTGTAGTTTTATGATTGAAGTTTGTTCGGACGAAAATTTGGAGTGGGAAGGTGGTAGAATGAGACTCAAGTTTTGGTTGGTGTGAGTGGTACAGATAGGAAGTCTGGAAGTAGTTGTGATGAGCGGTAGGTCAACCCAGCTGCTATCTTCTTGCGGGACGAGGCGGGCAAAGAAATTGAAATCACGGGTGAGATGAGAATGCCTTTTTTTCGTGACATGCGCGGTTGCTTTTATATCACTTCGGTGTATCGAGAAGGCATCTGCGTCTTTCGTTTGTGCTACCTTCCAATTGGCTGAAAAAAAAGCTTAATTTCTTGTCACATGACCGCTTGCCACTACGTCCGCCAGTCAGTGACCGCGAGACAATTCTAACCGAAAGCCTTTTATCAAAATCATTGCGCTGACCATGGTGGATAGTAATATCTACTATCATGTAATGCCGGTAAACACCGCAGATCGAGGGGTGTCAAACGTCTCCACTATTTCGGAAATAGAATGTCACGTCCGTCTGACACCCACTATCATGCCTCGTTCGAAATCCACTAAATCACGCCAGCTTTCCATGAGTAAGCTTTCCTGTGTTCACATTGACTCATCAGATGTCAGTGTATAACTGAGATAGGTCTGGGTATTTCCATGTGTAGAATTAGATTTCTACATTCTCTCTTTTAAACCTGTTAAAAGACGATCACAGCTATGTATTCTCAGTTTTGTGCTGAACCCATTAAAATCGGCTCCAGAGTTTAGTATGAAACAATGCTTTCTGATTGATTGGTCCATAAATAATATCATTGGTAAACATTCTTTCGAGCCACCCATTTGATTAAGAAAATTCATACATATAAAACTTCGACACGACTTAGTGAGTCCTTAAAATAATCAACTCGTCACACGAATCCATGAAACCCAACTTCCTCGTTAAAAGTTAATTTTTATTAACAACAACCCGGCTTGTGGAATTCAATTTGTTTTCAACATCAGCTCATCTAGTGACCAATTCAACCAAGACGAAATTCAGAAACCAACTCATTCGATATCTTAACATAAAGGAAATCGTAACTATATCAGTCGAAGCGAGACAACTTTACAGTGTCAAGCAATCTATTTCATTCAATTTCACCATCAACATAAACTGTTAAATTCCTTACCAGATCTATTGCATAACACCTTTTATATTAACCTTGATCACACAAACAATAACTCTAAAGATTTAAACAACTTTATTATATCATGTTTACTTATTCTGCCTATTTGATTATTTCTCTTGTTGTTGTCTTTGTTGCATTTGATTCAGTAGAAATAGTAGAGGGTCAGTTTAATTTGTATTTTTTCACCGATACAGATTGGCTAACCTACTACACATGTCAAGGTACGGTGGCGCCACCTGGTATTAGCTTTATATGATTTTTGGAACGCGGGTGCAAAATCCAGATAATATTAATACTTATCCTTCCTGTTTAGAAGGATGTGAAATAATACGCTGAATATATATCTGTGTATAATTAGTGCATTTATTTAGCAAGTAATTCTGTATTGCTAAGTGCCAGGTTTGGGATAGCTTTAAAGAGCGATAATAATTCAACACTGAGATTCTATCGTTACTCTTAAACTGTCATTCTATTCTCATTAGTAAGCAATGATGATTGGAAATGAAGAATAAACCTTCGGCTTCATAGTTTAGATATAAGTTTTCCATTCATACTGTACTGCAACTATTATCACGTGCTACAAAAACATCACAAATTCAGGCTACTGGGTACCGAAGGCAGACCTCAATACTCAACCATCCATAGTGTCGTTGAAAATCAAGAAATGCAGCTTTGAAGTAGGCTTAGGGCTATAGGAAATTGCCCATAATGGGAAGATCTGTTGAGTATAATGGTTGAAGCTGAGAGAATGTAGATTCTCTTCTTTCCAATTTTTGTAAGTAGCATTTTATTGTTATATAAGAATAGTAACCTTTGTGATGCATTACATATAAACATCTAATAAAAATTAAACAAAATTACCTATTTGTACATAAAATAAATTAGAGAAAAGTGTCGAATAAATTTACAGTTTTTGTGTGGCGTTTAGTTTAAGGGGGGGTGAGGTCATTATTTTATATAAGCACATGTTGTATGATTTGACGCAAAGTCACTTATTCATTGAAGCTCTTCAAAAAGCATCTGTCGACCATCCTGAAGATATTATCAAATACTTGATTACAAGTAATGAAATGGCACTGTCTAGGAGAAAGGCCAACTACACCCAACCTTTTAAAAATCTACTATTTCGCTAATGAACTCTGATAGCGAGTCTATACTATTCAAGTATCCAGAAACTTAAAAATTAAAAAAAATAAAAGCAAATATTTATTTCGACTGAGAATGATATTCAATTTTCTGTTATTTCTGGCTATTTATTTCCTAAGATAAATTTATCTGTTGGAAGAATAATTTCGCCAAATTAACCAAGTCTGGAGTAACAATAACCATTACTGACCTTTGTTCCCCTGGAAATTGTCTGTGTGCATTCGATGGTTCTCTTCTGAGTTCCAGGTCCACACGTTATACTACAAGCTGACCAGTTGCCTGTCTCCCAAGATGGTGGACAAGGATCGGCGTTGCAGGAAACTTCTTGCTGAGCAGGGACCTGCGTATGATTACAATTCTCTGCTGTGACTGTCACCTGACTTCTGATCTTAACACATACAATTTTAGTCTGCTGGAAGCCACCACCACACGTTCTTGAACAATCGGTGAAACCAGCGATTTTCCATTCATACGACTCGAAACGTTCTTCGCTTGGAATCTCTAATGGTTGAGCTTGATTCGTAATGTATGAATAAGATGACCTTGCGGTATCTGTATTTTCTAGATGTACTGGGCGTCTTCTGATGCTAAGCCCACTTGCTGCCCCAGCAAACCTTGTCGGTTGAGAAACTGGATTATGGACTGGATTTCGGCCCGGGTAAAACACTGGTGGGTGGCGCTCATTTCCTGCTGCCGAGTGAAATTGTGGGTTTATTTTTCGAGATGATATTATCGGTGGGTAGGGTTTCCTACTTCTGAAAGTTCTGGACGGGATAATGTTCGGTCTAGCTGCCCCTTGCCGTCTAGTGTTAAATGTATGTTGTTGTTGTATTTGTTGAGGTGTTGCATGGCTCTTTTTATGTGGCAGCCTTCTGAAATGTTGGCCTACGTACCGCCCGGGGTGAGAGGACGAAAATTCAGGTGTTGATCTAAAATTTGGACGATTTGGGTGATATCTAAATTTTTGTCCGCGGCGGTAATGAAAATTCCTATGTCTACGGCGAAACGTGTTTGCGTGGGGCCTACGGGCAACTACAGGCTGACGGTGAGATTGTTGATTTTGAGGCCGGTCTTCTAATTTTGACGATCCTGAAAAGTTGGTGGCGGGATCTGACCTCGAGTCGTTCCTGGTGTTGTTGAAGCTTTGTCTAGGAATGTAGAACTGATAAGTGATTCCCGGGCTGTAGCGATCGTAAAGAATCTGTAAAATAAATGAATTCCATTGTTCAGACACATAAAAGATGAGAAACGTATCATTTATGTACAATTAGGTTTGAAATCACAAATACAGATAAGTAATTTATAAAAACACACACGTACAGACACGCGCATGCAAGTGTATATATGTAATTGTATATTTATATATAAATTTACTTTATAAGCATTATTTTATATATGTATAATTTAAAAAATTTATATATATATATATATATATATATATATATATATATATATATATATATATATATATATATATGTATATATTGTAATTATTTTAAAAAAATAGGATTCCTTCTGCATAAGAGTTCTCATGTTTCAAAAAACGAGAGCCGAAAACCTCAATATAATTATTAAAATTAAACTGAGTTAAAGTATCAAGCCCTGTTTCATCTTCAAGTGAAAATTTAGGAAAAATACTAAAAGAACTCCGGATTATTTACCTAACGTGTTCTTTCCTATATTTCCACACACACACACACACACACACACACACACACACACACACACACAACACACACACATATATATATATATATATATATATATATATATATATATATATATATATATATATGTAATATTCATACATGACAATAAAACACAGAATTTCACAAAAAGTCTTCATAAATATTTTTAAATAAGAAAAAAATATTTGAAAATAGAGCAATACTACTGTAGTCAGTATCTCACAACATTTCGCTCAGATTACTGGCAATAAATAACAAGCCGACTACAGTTTATGTGATACTTATAGATTCACAAAAATGTATACAGAGGACGCTCTGAAAGTAACGCCACCTATTTATTTCTATAGAACCTGCAAAATATACATGACGTATAACAATAACGCCATTGGATAGAAAAAGTTTTCAGTCACAAAATACTATTTTTCCACATAGTCATCACTCAGAACGTGGATTGCATCCACTGCTTGCTGAAATGCATTACCCACTGCCTAACTGTGCTCACATTCACTTTTTGTTCTCCATAACCACTCATTCAATGTCGATAAATGTCAATGTGTAAAATGTTTTCCGCATGGAGGAAATTAATGATACACCTCTATTTCGAATGCACATGCATGTCAGACATCCTTTTTCCAAACTGCCGTTAACTTGAAAATCTGAAACAAAATGAAACAAAACAAAAAATCAAAGAAACAAAATAAATGGAGAGAAAATTTAAAGAAAGAAAGTTTAAATCTCCACTGCCATATCACCAACACCCATCTTTGACGTGCTGGGACCACATGCGAAAATAGAAGACATTATTTTCGGACAGAACCTCGTATAATGAAACTTTTAAAATGGTTTCACTCGTTCCATAATTGGGAATCCTATTCATTTGGACTTTTTAAAACCATTGTTACAGTACCCTAGGTGTGTGCAAAAGTTTCCAGTTGGAAACTGTTTTTAAAAGTGTATTTAATCTCTTAAAAAAAGGGTCTCTTGGGACATTTTTTTAATATATATAATAAGTATTAGGTTCAGAATTCTAAAATTTTTGAAGCTCTTAATTGTGATCTAGATGTCTAGTTTTGCATTTATATGCTAAGAATGCATTGAAGCCGTTTCGACGTTGAGAAGGTCGATTATATTCTGCCTGCCTCATGTTATCAATGCAATCTCCCTACTCCAATTTCCGTTACGTTTGTGTCGTATTATTAAGATTAGTAAATATACAGAAACCCATTAAGTATAAGCTGTTGCGTTTTTATCATTTTAATCATGAAACCAGCTGCTCTGCTGTCAAAATTATATCCTAGTCCACACTACAGAGGCAAAAACATTTAAAGGTTACATTTGGTTTTAAAAAGGTTGGGTTTTTCTTTTATGTATAGCATTTACACTATGTCTCACACTACTAGCCACTTTTAATAATTTCATAATTTTTAGAAAACTAATGACAAAATTAACAGAACTATTTGTACTATTAATCTACAGGATGTGGGAAAATATGTATAAATTATAGTCGATAATGTATCACTCTTCCAATAGGGCAACAATTTTATGAATTTTGCCGGAATTTTCAAGTTTCACATTATTAGTCAAGTTATTGCAACTCCAAGAAATACTATGTTATTATTAAAAATTATAATTAAAGAATGTCCGCGAAATTTACAAAGACAAATATTTTGAACAAATAATTGAAAAATTGTCATTGTAATGAAAACAAAGTTATAAAGACAACATTAATGTGAAATGTATTTTCCATGTTCCGAAACTTTTTTAATCAATTCACCCTAAGCAAGGCGATAACGCCACAAAGGCGCAAGTGGTGACTGGAAATGAAAGAGAAGGAAAGTACTTTAGAAAGAACCAGAAACCCAATAATAGTATACATTTCAGAGTTTAGGTGGAAACGTTAGAAGTATAGAGTTGAAGTAGAATTTAGAAGGAACTCAAAACCCAATCATAAACAGGAAACAAGAGATAAGCCTTTATTCCTGTTCAAAAGACCTGGCGATAGGTGAACTTATCTACTCCTATTAAATTAGTTTTAAAAGTAGTTCATTCATTTGTAACTTGTATTTCTTCATATGAAATTGACCGTACATAATCCAGAATAGCATACCAATGTTATCTTTTCATCTTCTTTAGAGTGGTTTACACATTTTCAGTCGGATTATGGTGGGGCGAACAAACAGTTGTCTTTGAAACCATTTATTCATCGGTTTTCTTCGTCAAATTTGATCGAGCATTGTCATTCATAATACATCATCTTTTTTTTAAAGTGAATTTTAATTATACTCTTCACGCAAAAAAAATAAATAAATAGAAATGGACTGACTATGAAGAGATTTTATTGCAAATGATTATATATATATATATATATATATATATAGAGAGAGAGAGAGAGAGAGAATTATATATTTATGTGATTATTAAAACTGCTTAATTATCAAATTCTACATTGAACCACGTTATTAATTGATTCTTTTTATATACGATAATAAAAATTTGACGAAAAACTCATGCATATTAAATTCCTTTTAACCTGATTATTTATTAGTTTCAATAAATATTATTGAACATTATTCATTTTTATTTATTAATCATATGATATTTATTAATTAGTCTTCAAAAAATTTAACGGAAAAACAAATTCGTTATTGCATTCATTCCTCTCATGTTTTTGTCAAACAAAACTTGCGAAGTTTCGTAGAAAAAACTTAAAAAAAACTTTTATCTGTCCCTTTGAAAATTTAACTTTGTGTCTATAACAACTTTTATTGTCTTTCTCTCTAAACAACTAACTTGAGGTTTTCTAACTGAATTATTTTTGTGCAACAGTAGTCATTTTGAAAAGAATTTAAATTTGCATGTATCCAATTCCTGAACAATCGATATATGTTCTTATATGATCTCTCACGTGATTTTTGCTAATTATAAACACAAATATACTTTAATGTAATGTGTCAGTTGATTTGCTACTTAATTTGTTTATATTTGTTATCAACTTCAAGTCATCACTTGTATGATTTTTCATTCATTTTGTTTTATTGCTGCAGCACATAGTGATTACATTCAGCAAGAAAAAGAAACAAACAACCTCAGTGCTAATTTAGCTAACTTTGCTAACTTTTCTTGCTGGATGAGTTTTAAACCAAATTTAAATTCTAAAAATTTACAAAGAGATTTAAAAACTCTTTAAAATATCTTTATATTTTAAAATATCTCTCTTTTCTTATCGATACTCGTAATAATTTTTCAAATTATAAATTTATCTTTTTTGCAATTATTTATTTGCCAATGAAAATGTCTAAAGAATCCCAAACTTACGAGCAAACATTTAGAAGAGTGGTTTATTAAAGCATTGGATATGTAAAATGCCTAACAGTTTTAAATTTTGTACAAATTTATAAGTCTACCATTAGTCTGGTGCTTCTGTTATATATTTAGATATTCTTGATAAAATCTGAAAAAGAATCTGCGTGGTACTGGATTTGTCGTTTTTAATCGATTTCACCCCAAGCAAGGCAGTAAAGGGGTTACTGGGTGTGGAAGAATTAGAAAACATAAATTTTACCAAGGAGCAAGAACAAAAGAAGAGGAATCAGGAGTACAGAAGAAAGGCGTCGGTATTCTGGAGCTATCCATAACTGAGTTGTGTTTTTGGGTGTATCTGCAGGAAATGTAGTGTGATTTGCAACATGTCTCACAAATGCTCGATAGGGTTTAAATCTAGTAGAGGCAGGGCCGAATAGATTACATGTAAGCCGACAGAATGTTTTGGGAACAAGTTTTGTGCTAACCGCGCGCATGATAATGAAGGGATTGTATTATCTTACTGGAAAGTCATCGCCACCCACAAACATGTTGAACATAAAAGTGTCTGTAATAAGACGTGCATATCACACTTGGCTGGACAAAATTTCACTAGTGGCCGTTGTGAACTCCAACAGAACACACCCACATCATTACAGAGATTTCTTACCAGATTGTATATCATGATAAGAAACTGGACCCATACTCATGCGATTCCCCCCATATTTCTGGTTTCAACAATCATTCAAAAGGTCAAAAGGTTTAAAATGCTATTTATGTCCCTTAGTCGCCACAGCTACACTACTTTTTTGCCTATTACGTCACTCATATGCCACCTGGTTAATATTATTTCTACAAATGGGAGAAGGCGAAACTATCCAGTGTACAACTATCTCTAATTTGGGGGCATTTCCGTTTAAGTAAAAGATTGTTATATAAAAAAATATTGCTTTCATTTTTCGTTATCGTCTAAGTGTGATAAATTATCGACAAAACATTAACTCTAATCATAAAATTCAGTGTACTATAGCGCGTCATATTTGCACCATAGCTTTATATTCCAATGTATCGTCCGAACATGATTGTCAGCCAACAATACATACATATTCTTGATGAGCATTAAAAATGAAATTTAGCTTGCTGTTGTCTTCGGAGGAGGCTGGTTCAATATGTATTTGATGTATGGACACCAGGAATCGGTCCCTTAGTTATC